TAGTTGTAGTTGTAGTTGTAGTTGTAGTTGTTGGTGGTGGTGGTGTTCTTGTTGTTGTTTTAGTAGTAGTAGTAGTAGTAGTAGTAGTAGTAGTAGTAGTAGTAGTAGTAGTAGTAGTAGTAGTAGAGGTGGTAGTAGTAGTAGTAGTAGTAGTAGTAGTAGTACTAATAATAATAACAGTAATAATAATCTCTGCATGTGAAATGTAAGTGCCGCGCAGTCGCAATAGCAGCATTTTGTGGCAGCACTACAGTAGCAGTAGTCGCAGTTGTCGTTATTGCGGTCTTCGCCGTCGCCAAAGTAGTACCTAGTGTTAGTCGTCGTCATCGTCGTCGTTCTTATCGCTATCCTCGCCATGTGATTTGTGTCACCCTACCGATACAGTGTAGCAATGTCGCGAGTTTTGTTGTCAATGCAAAGCCTCTGACCTGGCTTAGGAACGATGGGGCCGAATCGTGATGCAGGACCACCATCTTCGAAGTTCGACTTGCAGGTTACTTTTTTGTTTTTTTTTGAGGGGGGGGGGGGGTTCCTAAACACTACATTAAGTCATAAAGGGTCCCACGGTGTAAGTATGAGGGTCCATATTCGTAAACGCCCCTTCTTTTCTGAAACTCACGGTTCCCTATCCACAGGAGAGCTGCACCCTGACTGCGCATAGAGGAAGTAGTTTCTAACAGAAACACAGGGAATACGGTTTAGGGTTCAGGGTTTAGGGTTTAGGGTTTAGGGTTTAAGGTTTAGGGTTTAGGGTTTAGGGTTTAGGGTTTAGGGTCTACTTTGCACCCGAGATCTGACATATAGTGTCTTGGTCGTACGATGATGAGCCAAGACTGTATGCTGCTTGAGAACCCTTACGACTTGGGGGTTTCCGAAAATAGGGACCCTAATATAGTACCCTAAATTTAAATAGCAGGATCCTTATTATAAGGACCCCTAATTAAGGTACCCCCTTATTTTCGGAAACTTCGATACGGCTTGCAGCGATCTGCCATCAAACATCAAACAACCGGTGACCTCAAAGGACCAGTGTGTCATGTTCGTCGCAAGTTCTACATCACACTACAAGAGGCAGCACACGATGTTTGGAGCTCTTGCGAGTATCGCAGGCTAGAGCTAGAGTCATGAACGGATGGTGGCACTGTCTTTTCCTTCCAGAGCTCTTAGCTGTAGTTTTCATGGCAAGAGCATTCGCAGGCTTGAAGCAGAGTACCCACTGTGTTGACAACAGCGATTTCGATGGCAGCGTGCAGCTGAAGCACTGCTCAGATATTGCCGGCGTGTCCCGCACTGCGTCCCACAGCCTCGTAGCGAGGCGCGTGCCTCGTAGGATGCTAAAGCAGCGCTTGACATGGCACTAACTGCAGCATTGAAGCTGATCTCGTTCGGCTCAACATCCATTCGGGGCATGATGGCCAGTAGCTCGACTGCAAGCTGCCACTGAGAACCTTGACCACAAGCACTGATCACAGCACTGAAGCTGATCACGTCGGGTGTAAGAGTTGATGCGGATATCATCTTGGCCAGTAGGACAAGGGCCATCTGCCACTTGCCGCTGTTTTCACAGGCGCTGATCAGAGCGTTGAAGCTGATAATGTCAGGAACACACTGAAATGCAGGCATTACGGAGAGCAGTTGTAGGGCTCTTTCCCATTCCAAGCTCTTCTCACAAGCACTGATCACAGCACTGAAGCTGACTTCATTCGGGTTCAACTTGAATTTGGGTATCTGCCAAAAAAGGTCGAAAGCGGCCTGCCACTCTGAGCTCTTCTCGCAGGCGCTGATGGCAGCACTAAAGCAAAATAAGCTTGGAGCAACCTGCTGCACGAGCATGGTCAGCAGCAGACGAAGTCCCTCTTGCCACTGCGCCTCCTTGGCACAAGCGCTGATCGCTGCGCTGTAGCTGTAAGCATTCGGGGGTGATCTCTCCCTGTCCATCTCCAAAAGCAAGCTAAGACCTTCCTGCCATTGACTACCTTCTTCACAAGCACTTATGGCTGCAGTGTAGCTAATTACGTTTGGTTCAAGTTTGGCTGCAGCAATTTGGGGAAGCAAGAGCAAGGCCAGGTGCCACTGTGAGCCCTTCTCCAGGGCTGTGATCGCTGCTCCGAAGCTGATGATGGTAGGTAAGACAGAGTGGACATGCATCTTCGCAAGGAGCAGAGCTGCCGTTTGCCATCGCATCGCATGTCCACAAGATGTGATGAGCGAGTTAAAACTGATGCTGCTCGGTGAGAGCCTTGCTGCCGGTATCCTTGCAAAGAGGGAAAGTGCTGTTTGCCACTGGGAGGCTTCTTGACAGGCGCGGATTGCCACATTCAGCACTGTTTCGTTGGCTTCAACTCTGGCACCTGGCATGAGTGAGAATATGTGGAACGCGACCTGCCACTGCCCACACTTCTCACATGCACTCATAGCTGCGCTGAAGCTGTATTCGTTTGGGGAGACATGCGCTGCTGGCATCTTGGCAAGCAGTTCTATCGCCAGCTGCCACTGAGCTCCTCTCTCGCAGGCACTTATCGCGGCACTGAAGCTGAACACAGTTGGCGACACGCTGGCCGATGGCATCTTTTCCAAGAGTTGTAGTGCTACGCCCCATTGCTGCGCTTTGCCGCAAGCATTTATTGCACTGCACCAGCCACGCTCATCCCGCCCGCGTGGTCCACACAAGAGCTGCAAGGCAGTCTGCCACATAGCTGCAGTGATGCGTGGAAACCCTGGATTCAGAGCAATGAACCCCGAAACTGCCTTTGGCCCTTTGACCCTTCAGTTGTGGATGTTTACCTGCAAGGACAGATCATGATTCGAAGCCTACCGAAAGCTTACCGAGTAATGCTAAACGCAATGCCCCTGAACCCTTGCCCAAAGTCATAAACTGCAATGGGCCTAATTTAAACCCTAAAGCCCTAAACTGCTATGAACGAAACTCCTGACTAGACCTAAGCCCTCGCCTAACAACAAAAAACCACAGGTGGCGCTCTAGAATTCCGCTACCATGGAGAGACTTCGACAGCTTGCCGGCCCCCCTTTACAGGAGCCCTTAAACGAAGCCTTACAAAGGAAACCTGGTAGAACCCCGAAAGGACCCCTGAAAGATAAAGGAACCTCTATAATAGCCTATAGGGTTTTAGGCTTGAGGGTCTGTCTTCCTTGTGTCCATGAGCTTCTGAAGCTCCGAAATCAGCTCCTTCCGCCCTCATCGGAACGGCCTCCAGGCCACTCAGCGCGCACGCCGCGCGCATCCCCCCGATTCCAGCAAAGAACTCCAGGACCCGGAGCGGCCTCGGTCTCTCACCTGCGACATCGGGAGCACAAGGGGCCTACTACTACTACGACGACTACTCCTCCACCTACTACTACTACTACTACTACTACTACTACTACTACTGCTACCACTACTTCTACCCCTGCTATCACCTCCCACGACCCGAAAAACACACCCCCAACATACGAGAAGGCTACACTCAGCACTCGG